TATTGGTGCCAAAATTATTCAACATTTTCGTTAATGATTTACCCAACCCACTGAATGCTAAAACCCTTGAAATATGCAGACGACACGGGGATTTTATCGGAATCTAAAAGCCCCCAACTTTTCTCTTACTAACCTACAGTTTCACATCAACATAGTGGCTGCTTGGTGTCAACTTTGGAGAATTAAAATTAATACCGCGAAATGTAAAATTGTCCAATTCCGTCGCTACAGAAGAAATGTCACTACGAACACGGATATCAAGATAGAAATTGATGTGATTCCAGTTTGCTCGTCCGCAAAGTATTTGGGAGTTACCCTAGATGATAGGCTCACTTTTAAAGAGCACGTAACCAACTAAGTAAATAAAACAAACCGAGTTTTCATGTCACTTTATGTTATAGGTAGGAAATCGAAACTGAGCTTAAAAGCTAAACGCATGATCTATCTCACTATGATTAGGCCAGTTATGTTCTACGCCGCCCCAGCATGGGCAATTGCCAATAAGACGGATAGGAGAAAACTAGAAGTCCTTCAAAACAAAATTTTGAGAGCCATCACTAACGCACCCTGGTTTGTACGAAATAGCATCATTCATGCAGACTTGAAAATAAAGCCCATTCCTGAACAAATCCTCATGGAGGCGCACAACTTCTTCGAAAAAATGGATAATTCTCCAGTGCACACGCTAAGAGAACTCAGTAATTATGACCCTACGGTGGACAGCGTGGTGAAGAGATCTCGGTCAATTCACCATAATGCGCGGTGGTGATGTAAATATGTAAATAGTGTACATATGAAGTTGTGTTTTGTGCTCTATCTAACCTTATTTAACCAGTACTGTGTTACTGCCAAAATTGGCTATTTGCCTGGAAACAGGCTAGAGACTCTGACTTAATTAATATGTGTTAAGGACTGTGTATTGTATGATCTCACCACGCCCACTGCTGTGGTTCTACTCCTGATTTGCTGCTGGACTGCGCACCCTATCTCAGTAACCTTACGCTACTATCCTGACCGAATGCATCATGCATGGACTTGAATGCTGGATGATTTTGTTTTCCAAGTACTAATTTCCCAATTTTCGTATATTCAGCTTGACTTCGCCACGGAATGATTGCACCTTGTTCTAATGTCACGCCCCCGGGCGAGGTGCAGTAGCACCTTAATGTACTAAAAACCGTGAATGGACTTCATAGGCTGCACAGATTGAACAGGTCAAAAATCAAAGTAGTTGTATACTTGAGGTGAATCAGACCTAAGTTCGTAGTAGTTACTTAGTTTGGTGTTGTTTAGAAAACTGCTCTTGTTGACTGTAGCGAATTCGCGGATTAGCTTTCTTTAGCTGTTTTGAATTAAGTTCTTTTGAACGTTTGAGTAGTTAGAAGATAACTACTGTCATATATTGTGATACTGCACGATTATTTGAGGACATTTAATCATATTTGTTGTGATAATAATAAATTTTTGTTCATTTTTCATCGGACTTGTGCATTCATTTCGTAACGAACCCGTACGCACGCAACAATATTAATAGCAATCAGTATTGCTTTTGGCTACCTGCTGTTCAGTCATTCTGCACACATGTATTCGCGTACATGTTGTACATGCACGTTATCCACACACTTATCTATCCGGCTCACCTTTTGAATTTATTTTATCCCACTCAACTTATAGCAGCTTCACAGTATGTTTCTTTTAAGAGTTTTAATATTTCAGTACCACTCTTTCAAATTTTCCATAAAATTTGATGTTAACAAGGTACTGTAAATTTCCATCTCCGTTTTTTATGACGAAGCTTAGTCACAGATAAACTTCATAATAAGAAATCAGATACTCAATCTGATAGTAATTTTTGTAGATAAGGAACTACGATTTTCCACAACCAAATCGTAATTTATGCATACATTATTTCAAATATGTTCCAACTCGAATACTAGCATGTTTTCAATAACATGATTTTACAGATGCTATTATGTGGTCATTACTGGAACTAAATTGCTTACTTATATATTTATACTTAGACAATATAGTATATGTATATTTATATATGTCAGATATAAGGTACTAAATATTATTAACTTTAATTTGGCAGCAGCCTTATTTATTCTGCATTTTAGTTTGGCTACCTTCCTTTACTATTCTAAATTGTTTCTTATTAATTTTTCTGGCCTCTGTCTTCCCAACTTAATCCGTTTTATGTTTCTTATGTAATCATGCTGTAATGCGGACGGCTCTCATTAATCAGATCAAATTTAAACAAAGGAACAATGTTTTTAAATATCATTGCTGATACCTGCGCACCCCTTTGTTCTACTTCAACTTCACCATCCGCCTGATTAAATGTGTCTCTTATCTTCTGCTAGCTATTGTCCATTATTCTGAAAATGTAAGTTGCATATGATTGTGGGATGTCTCTTGACCCATGATGATGATGTATAATGGAAAAGAATATGTGCTCCAAGATTTAGTCATCAAGGAATAATATTACGTGTTAAAAAGTCACGTGTGCTTCCAAGTATCATCCATTTATCTACTCAATATTAAATTTTCATGTTCTTGTAATGCAGAAAAAATATCACCAATCCATTGCAGACATTCTCGAATCGCCCCATTACAATGGGTCAACTGGATTGATTCTGTGCTATGTCCATCAAATGTATTTTCTGCATGTCAAATGAAACATCCCTCGTGTTTGGGAGGAAAAAATACGCTTATCTACGATTTCATAAGTGCTTCAAACTTAAAGCATAAACTTATTTAAAGTTTTTCGAATAATCTTTTAAGTGTTTAAAGATCTTTAGCATCTGTGTCTTTAATCTGTGTTTACAAGAAGCGTTGATAATGAAAATTAGCTGAGATCATCAATCATGAGCACCATCTGTTCCACATGTTTACCTCAAGTGAAACAAAATTCAAATATGTGCAATGTTGTTCATACTTTTACTAGCATTTCTTTTGCTTTAAACTCTACATTTTTGAGTTTACTATTAAATGCTTTCATTAATTAATGCAATTAAAATATTTTGATCCTCATCGAAAAAAAAAATGCGAATGATATAAATTATTTTGAAATTTAAATATGCAATATTGTTTTCTTTATTATGTAGAATTTCCAAAATCTTGCGCAGTTTTATAAAAATATCAGAATTCAATTTTTAATAATTACATTTAATAACTTAAGAAACATTAGAATACTTAATTTTTATTGTTTACGGAAGGTTATTAAAATACTATAGTAATAATTAGATTATTAAAAATTTTTGAGTTTTTTTAAGAGTTTTGGAATATTTTAAGAATGAGATAAGTATGAATATAAATTAGTAATTAAAAATTTTAAATATTAGTACAGAAAAATGTAATAAAAATGTTGCTTTTTAGTGTTTAGTATGAAATGTGAAAACTGAAATATTGAATATTATTATCATGGACTAATAATCGTATGTAAAGACAGAATATGTTAAGACAAACTTTGAAGATCCTACAATGTACAAACATTATTTTTATTTATTATATAATATATATATATATCTATCTATATATATATAATAGAGTGAAGTTTGATTCTTTTAAATATAATGAAATGCTAGGGCAGTTCAAAAAAGCCAGCTGCATTTAGAAGGAACAGAGACATTTATAACTAATATTCGAAGTACCAACCTTAACCTCTATTAATTTATACACCAATTAGGTTAATGTGGATTTGCCAATAGAATGGATATATTTGTATTTCGAAAAAATTGTGTATCTTCCAGTTTTGTTTAACATAAGAAAATGAGAAATATAATAATAATAATAAACATAATACAGTATTCTCTAGTATGAATACCATGCCCTCCAGTCAAGTTTGACGAAATTACCGTCAAAATCAGAAAAATATTTTCCTGTTTTTGAAAATTGAAGTATCTGAAAGGTTGTTTCACATAAGACTGCTGAGCTAGAAAAAAAAATGGTTAATTTTTAAATGCAAAAAATTTAGAGAAACCACAAAGTGTCGCAGTAAGAACTCATGCTCTTCGTGGCATTAAATCAAGTACGTTCTGAATGTATATCTGAGAAATCACATTTCGTATTGTTTCTATCCGAGACAAGTTCATTCGGATTAGCAGCGGGTCTAGTGGCATCAGAAAATTGCCGATCCACAAAGTTTCAGATATATTCAATAAGTGACACGTCTGGCCAATATACAGATCACGGAACAGGCGGTGCATGATACGTTGAGCCCCGTACATATTTCTATCAATATATGGAAGGACGATGTTCTCCTGAATTACACATCTAGGAATGCGTTGAATAGAAGGTAGGAATTCTACAACTTCCCTGATTTAGCAGTTACGTATGTGAATACTTGCAAATCCAGCAAACGAGTTTGCTTCCATACCCAATGCAAGCCAAGCCACCCACGTTTGGTAACTGTGTACTGTAACACTGGGTAGGGCATTGCAGAAGAAGCATCAAGGAACAAGCGATACATGATATGTTGAGCCTCTTCGTAGCAAAAGAACTTGCCTACTATACCCAAAGAAAGACAAAGTCATCATCACACGTGGTAACTGTGTATTATTGCACTGGATAGAGCATTCTGGAAGATAGCTCCGCTGCAATCTTCTCTTAATATGAAGACTTAGACCATGCATATGATAGTACTTTGAAATTCTAATCTCTAGTGTATTTCTTTGCATTTCATGTAAGTTTCTGGTTATTCGCTTAATTTCTCCATGTATTGCAGTTTTAACAAATTTTAACAATTAGGTTTGCATATGCATTTTGGATCAACGTAAGTTGAATCACCAACTTGTGTTTATAGCTTAATATCTGCACTTCAATCTAGTAATTTGTACGTTCTTTCATTTTTTATTTTTGAATTTGATTAGTAATGCTGAGATATCGAATCATAATGTGCAAATTTATTATAATATCTTATGTGAATGATAGGATCTTTAATAATTTTAAAGCTATGGATGTACTTAACATATGAGAATGCATAGCTATTTTCGACTTACTTATTATATAACACAATATCAGGAAGCCAAATCAGTTCAGCAGGAACATGAAGTTTTGTAACTCCTCCATAATCATCTGGATCCCATCTCATTTTGTAATCGTTCCATTCCTGTCAAAATTCATTAAAATGAATTAAGCATCTTTAATTATTGTAGTTTTCATTAATAATAAATCATACTCACTACTGTCAGGAGAAAATTTAAATTGAACGAAAAAATTCGCTATTAGTTGTGGTGGTGTTTCCAATTCCTTTCCTTCGTAAATGAAGCATAGTTGCTATCAAGTTACAGACATTCCCTAGAGGGCGGTAAGCTGATTTCAATACACACCCACACACACACATATATATATATTTGTACTGAAGAGGGGAAAATGGCTTATATATATATATATATATACGTATAAATATATATGTATACAATCAGGGTAAACCTTGGGTTTGCGTTGAACATTACATACGATTTAATATTATTCATATCTGCGTAATATAGTTTAATTAGAATGAGCTTCTTAATTTATTATAACGTGGGCAAGTGAACTATTTCTCATTAACTCTCTCTCTACCTGTATTTTCTCAACAAATAAGATTTTAGAAGTTTTTATTCAAGCTAATTTAATTTTTCCTGAGGGGCATTTTTATCTAGGAGTTTAAATGAAAAATTAAATAAAAAAGATAACCTGAGTTTTGATCAGATTTTTAATTAAAATCTGTGGATTTTGAGGGTGAATAAACTCTCCATTTTTTCTTAAAATTCAAAACAATTTCTAATTTTGTTTTCGCTTGAAGAAAGAGTCCAGTGTCAATATAAGATCGACTGTGAACGTTACAATATAAATAATATAAAGACATTAACTTGTAAGGAAATACATTCATGAGAGTACTTGGTACATAAAAGAAGATATAGGACATAATTGACAAACATATAACACATTTCGTTGATTCACTTATAATAAGGTTTCATTATTTAAACATTAGAAGTGCATGCTATATGATTACATATGGCGGCTTTATATACAAATACGTCTATTATATAGCTAGATAATTGAGACATTAATAGCAAGTTATGACGTATTATATATACAGAGAAATTAGCAATAGAATTATGATTAAAACCATGGTTCATAAAATAATGAAGCAGGGTATATGGAATTAATTACATTGTATGACAATGTATATATTGGAAGAGACATTAGAATTTTTAAAGCAAGAAATATGAAAAACGAGCAATGCCCTCGCCAGGACTCCAATCCGGACCCTTCGAATACGGCCAAGTGTGATACAGTTACACCACAAACGCATGCAGAAAAGAGGAACAAAAATCCTTATAGTCTCTCCTCTGAAAAGCAAGCAAAGCAACTCTTGGAGAGACAGAATAGCTTACCTTAGCATAGTTTAATTTAAAGTAAGGGATAGTTTTGCGAGAACATAATGACGGAGTATCGTGTTTTCCGGCCATGTTTCCCATTTCGAGAACTAGGCTTTTTAATATGATATTTACGTGTAATATTTCCTCGTACAGATCCAGTAAAAGCATAGAGACTGGAAGTGTCTTTCTGTTCTCATCAGGAGTTGTCTGTAGATTATTTTCCGATCGCTTTGGATGGCCGAGTAAAGGAACATTATACATTATGAACTGGTTCAGCAATGAGTTGTTGATATAAACAATTTGTTTTGTCCACTTTGATTTTCGTACAGAACGGATAAAAACGTCTGCCCGTGGTTGCGAAAACCCACCACCTATTTCACTTATTCATGAGGTGCCTTTCTGTAATTAATCTTTCTTTTAAGATTGTTGTTGCAAATCTCACTCGTCTAAGAACGATCAACACAAGCCCACGACATTCGTACTGGCAATTGAGACATGTCAAATGTGACAAATCGTTGGCAAGAGGTTTGAGCATCATATATAGGTAACAGCATTTAGCTCAGTTCCATCCTCAATTTTGAGACAGAGCACTCCAGAGGAATGGGTCCGAGGGTCTCCCCCATATACCGTACCACAACTTCTTGAGCGGGTTTTCGGCTCACCGCATATTTGAGAGTGTCCATATGCCGCACTGATAAACATCTATGCCTTCTCCGGGATTTGAATCCGGGTCCTTCTCTACGGCAGTCAGAGTTCAGTAACCAGCACTATCCCGGTTGAGCAACGTTCTTCAAATTAATGCAGCGGAAGGTCAGTTAATTGTATCGGTACAGTGATATGATTGACAGCGGGCTTCGCAATCTCATCTTAAAATTCGTTTCCTTGTCTTTCCTGTAATTATCAGAATCTGACCTAGGCATAGCTTTTCGTTTAGTGATCTGTTTAATTAATCGGTTTAGTTTAGTTAATCTACTTAGTTTAATTAATCTGTTTAATATTTTTTCATTTATAAATTTTCATTTTCGCAACCCAGCGGAATTATATTTTTATCTCAGTAACATGGAAGAGATTTAAAACTTGAACTGTGCATTTTATTAGATTATCTAATTTTCATTTATTAGCATGGCTCTAGCACTGGAGACTACTGTTGAGCTCTAACGGATGCAAAATTCACTTGACTAATCCACATGTCGGCCTGGTGGAAAGCTCTTGCTTTCAAACTACCAATTTATTTAGTGGTTTCTACCTTAGCTTCTCTTATTCTGAATATGACGTAAAATGCACTCTGGTGAAGAACAACAGAAGAAACAGAATGTGCGGTAAAGAATTATCATGAAATAAAATTGTTCGTGAAAATAAACTTATAGCTTACAAAGCAGTCATACAGATTTCAAATTCAACAATTAAAAAAAAAAGATTTTTATTCTTAATACAAGCCATTTACGTTTTTAGTCTGCCGACAATAGAAACGTGCATATTTGACGCAGCAAATAATCTTAAACAATATTCACATCGTATATTTTAATTGGGATCCATATAGCACATCACTTCATAATACACACTAATCGCTAATAAAATCTATAGCCATTGCCATCTAGATTTAGAAGTAGGAGAAAAATTCGAATCAACCTGAGCTGCGAAACAAGCTCTGCTTCAGTATTCTGCAATAAATGTGAGCAGAAAATTAAACGATATTAAAAAATTTAGTGAGTAGTGAAATTGCCTAATTACCACGAAATAAGAAAATGGTAAATTACGGCATGCAGAATAATTGACTTCACTCCTTCTTCCATCATCACCATAATGGCATGTAATATAACTAGCTTCACTTTTTTTTTTTTTTTTTTTTTTTAATTTCGCCAAACTGGTGAGTGGCAAACGAAATATTGCGAATCAGATTACCGCTAAATAGATTCGTGGATCATTGTTTAAGGTAGCAAATGTCTTACGTAGCACCGTGGATGAGCTCTAAAGAACTAATATCCGAGCAGTCACGACATCTCTTCCCCCCCTTTTCCTTTCAATTTTTTTTTTCTCTGCAGTTCAGAAATTAGCTAAAAAAGGAAATCCGACCGAATGGATGTCTTCTGTACTAACTAAGCAGAAGAAGAAAAAATACTGTACAGAAAAACCATTTCGAGTGTGTTTCACTTCTTCGGTCCCAGGTGCATAGTTTGACTTACATCTCTCGTGACCCGCTCAATGGGAATTTGCCGGAGGAAGAATATCCCCAGGGAGTCGTAAAATAATGAAACGGGTACTCTGTAGGATAGTGATGACCACTCCGAAGAAAAATGAGAATGATTTCAGGTTCTTTCTTTCTGCCGGTGTAACAAAAGTTTCTTCGTTATAATTCTTCTCGTGCAATTCTTCGCTGAGTGATGCCTATTACTCATTTAAACTGCAAGTGGAAACCTTCTACAATAATTTTTGTTTTCTAATATCTAGAAAGACTGCCCAGCATCCAGATGCCTCTAATATTATATGCAGTCAAACTACAAAATAACAGAACTACATTTCAGGGAGACAAAATATCAGGGGTAAGTTCTGTATATTTAATAGTATTAGTTGCTTTAAGGTCAACCATTGGCCTGCCATGAGAAATGGGTTTAGATTAAAATAAAGGATAAATACCGTCCTTATTAAAATAAAAATAATTAATAATAAGTAGTGGATGAAAAACTAAGAATCGAAAATCAAGCACTGAGCTAAAAAGGATTTTTGATTTATTTTTAATCATGAGCATGGCTGAAGTGTAAGGATAATTTCATATTGCTGGTAAAAATAAAGAAATATGTAACAAATTATGAAATAAAAGTATGGGAATGGAGAATGCAATAGAAAGTTATGCATGTAAATTCCCATGTAAGTACAATATACATTTGCCAAACTCTGTAACTTCACGCGCAAAATCTTCATTCAAGATTTCTAACATTCTGCGTAAACGAAGACTTTATTAAAGGAGATTTCATGTTCAAATTACCTTATTATTTTGTCTGTACTTCTACTTTTATCGGCTCCCACTAGCATACAAATTATTTAACATATATAAACACAGAGTTCTTGAATTCAAGTTCGCTGTTGCTGACCATCATTCTATCGAATGACTAAGCTACTGAAGTCGACTTTAGCTTTGCTAGCCGTAATTACTTCGGCGAAGATGTAAGATTTAGTAGGCTTAGATATTAGACGCGTTTTATTTGTGCCTTTATATTTAATATTCTAATTTAATTCTAATTTATTCTAAATTTCTTGAAAGGTACAGTTTGATTCGTATTATTTTTATTAGGTTGAGTAACCGTGAAACTAATGATTAGAAAAAAAAAAAAGGTTAGTTTTGGTAACCTTCATCTGAGTTAGGTTTTTATGTTCTTTAGAAGTTATGATGGAAAAAAATAAGTCGTTTGAATCTCTTTATATTTCAACAAGTTAACATTCAGATTTGTATGCAATCATTTCAAGTAACTTTATAAAAGATGTTAAAAATTAAATTTTTTTTAAAATACAAAGATGAAACAAGTTTATTAGAGCCCAAATGGTGTGCATATTTGTTTTCTGTGAATATTAAATTTTCATAATCGGCAATTTGAAATTAATTTTTGAATTTTTTTTTCAGATTTTGTCATCGTTATTATAAATATCTTAACAACCCTAGCTTATAAAATACAGAAATGGGCCCCATAGCATCATTCGGAAATAAATGTTATAGGTTACTTTGATTTAAAATTTGGAATTGTGCGAT